TACTCTATTACAGAACCCATCAGCAACCAGTTGAAGAAGAAATTAAGAAGAGACATTGGGGGTGTATGGGCCAAACTTTATGGAAACCATTGAGATCATGAACCGCTCGACGTCAGACCACCATTGAAAACGTGGAAGCACTGAACGGCCGCATCTTCATATTGTGGGACTCCCCAGCAGTGCGCATTCACGGTCCCGCTCACGAGATTCGAACCCAGGGCCTTCGGTCTCACACGCGAACACTTAACTTCTAGACCACTGGGCCGAAATCCATTCACTCTCAACAGTTGTTATACGTGCTCGACAGAAAAATGAACGGCTCAATTTGTCTGATGGAATTTCAAAATGTTAGGTCCAAAGAATAATATGCGTTATTGTTCCACGAATATTTTATAAACAATTTAAGATACACCAGTTGAAATACATTCCTTAATTCAAGCAGAGCATATAGCTTATAATATGGGATTTTAAAATACCAATGTGATAAAACAGGTAAAGCATACCTATCAAAATCCAAGTATTGTTTATCAACAGATCTGAGATAGCCGAAAAACCAACGAACTAAACGACCAAAACATAATTGACCAAAGCGAAAAGGTATGAATACCGATCGACTAGAAAAATCTGATGAGAACTAGTAAACAAAAAACAAGACATTCCGGAAAATGAAAAACACGACGATTAGCATTAAAAATAAAGTCTGATAATTGGAAATCTAATCAATCGAATATATCAATGAGAAGTGGTTGAGAGATGACAGCTCACAACGAAATTCGTTGGATGCTAAAATGCTACACGAGTGTCCAGCAAAGCTCATCCTTCTACTGATAGATGAATACAAAAATATCTAACGCGAAATAAAAAATGACTACAAATTATGTCATGCGAACGTGATCACTGCAGTTTCTCAAATCATCTAGTGAATTTAAGCCTTGACTATCGAGTTTAGCGACTTGTATACGCACTTAATAACTGCCGCGCCAACGACATAGTGGAGAAATCCTACCAAAGATCTTCGAAGCTACTTCAAATATTGAAGCTTCAATGTGTAGTTATGTAACAGAATACTTCAGTATTCAAACAAAAATGCTAAGGTTTGTATTAGAATGAGAGTGACATTTTGACAATGTCAATCAAGTATACTTCATGTAGGAGCTGAAGACATTGTTTAGAATGACAATGGATGCTCTGCAACTAAGCCATTTGGGTCGGAAAGCTCATAGTCACTAATAGAGTCTGTCTGAGCTACAAATTTTATTGATTATCTCAATGGTGATGCTTTCTTGAAATTCTCCCAAAAACGAACATCGCGCGGCTGGTATTAGGTTTAGACAAAAGTCAGAACACTTCTCCTACCAGGCACTGACTTTATTACAATTGTCACGTAGGTTATCATTCAGCTAGTCATCAGCAACGTAGAACCGGGTATGCATTTGCGTCGGCCCACTTTCCCGTACCACATCAGCATAGTCGGGGGAAGTTACCAGGATGAATATAAAAGTGGTTGAAGTAGTTGAGGCAGTAATGGTAATAGTAGTAGTAGTAGTGGTAGTAGTAATATCAGTTGAAGTGAAAATATACTAGACATAGGGAATCATTTTTCAAAAAGAAACGGTTAGTTTGTGGAATCAAAAGTATGAAATAATTTTGAAACTCAAATTATATAACTATGGGTAAAATGGAAGAGCGTTTGAGCATCTCTTCTTAGAATGAGACCTTGAACTGTGATCGTATGAAACTCTAAGGATGAATGAGAACAATACCCGTTGATAAAAGACTCACTCAAGTTGCAAAGTGTGCGGGAAATAAACTCAACAATTACGAGAATGTGACAGTGATACTCAAACTGATATAGCCTAGCTCCAAACTTAGTCTGCGATGAAATTAGTCGCAAGGACTGACAATAAAAATTTGCGGATATCATCAAGTGGTTACTAGTCGATCTTATTAGGCTAAGGGAGAGAGAACAAAGTAAGGCAATCAATGTGCGCATCTTTCCAGATTTTGAAGGTAGTTGGTGCTAATATTGTGGTCCCATGTCTAATGACCAAGATGTCTTTGGGGGTCAACGTAACAATGTGAGTTTTCACATAATGAGTGGTAGAAGCATTGTCATTCGTTTGTGAGCAATGCAGGACCTGGTAACAATGCCCAATAGCATGTCAGCAAACTTCAGACTGGGGTATTAAGGGGAGACTATTGTTCGAGTCATGCAAGGATGTTATTTGCATCATTATGAAAAGAATCTACAGCCTGTTCAAGGAATAGTTTGGTAGTAAGCTACAATGGCTTAGGCGATATTTTACCATTCTTTTGAATTAAGTGACTTGTAGTCACACGGAGAAAGAACAGAAGTTAAACACCCACACAAAGATCATAGTGTAAACAATATCAATTTTTCAAAAACATGTTATTGACGGGAGAAGGAGCAAAAATGTGAAACTATGGAAACTGTTTTTGGCGGGATCAGTTTGTGTATATCCTGTTTCTTAACTAAGGAAATAGTTCGTAGTATTTGAATATTTTTCCGATTGAGAGCTATGATCTTACCGATAAGCTGTTGAGTTGCCTTCAACAGTTCGGAAATAACAGTTAGTGGACTATGTACCTATGACTCAACTTTTTGTGACAACTATCCGTATTGTATACCTATTGAGATTCGTTAGTCAGTGTTGTGGGCTTAAATTCTACGTCGTTAATCACGAGTTATCAGTCTAAAATAAAAGTAAAAGAAAAAACATCAGGTACTTGGATGACGTTTTAGTGTTCTGATTGGTAACAAACAGACGATTTTGAAGAGAAGACCGTTGGTATACACAGCAAATGTCTAGGCACACTATAAATTATACGCTCAAAGAGAATTAGATCATGTTGAAAAAAGGTAAACAATGAACAAACCAGAAAATAGCACTTCTTTGAGAAGTCAGTGACTGTAGATCCAAACAATACCGGAAGGTTTAAACCTCCTAAAATGAATCCTCCATGAGGCGTAAATCAGAATTTTGTCACTGTAACATGGTAGTTGACGTATTGGCTAAAGCGTCACACTTTAGCAAGTGACTGAAACTACATAGTTAAAACCAAATTTGAACTTGATTTGTTTTCTCGGGTTTGCTGCCGCAGATCTCCATTTAGGCATCGAATGGTTATCAATGCTAATATGTTAGACAACAAATAAACTAAGCTGACTCTGTATTGTTATCATGAGGGAGTTTACTCCCCTTTTTATAAGATTGAAAAATGATAGAATTTTGTTTACTTACCAAACGTCAACTAATAATGAGTTATTATGGTTAGGGACCCACTCTTTAAGACAGTTAACATTGACTTATTAGGAACAAGTAATCCTCACTGCATAAAGTTGGCTATAGATTTTAAATTTCGTTGGTAGGTGGAGCTGATCACTTAAGACCTTTAGTCATTTTATCTTGTCATAAGCAGAATACTTATTCACGTAAATATTTAAATGATGTAAGTCTTGCTTATTCGTAGAGCATCATGATCAATTAGAGGTTGACAAACCATTGAAATATATAGCTGTATATAATCTGTATATTCAAAAATGTACTACGATATTAAAGGTAGATGAGTAATGAGGTTTAAAAAATGAGATAAGAACTCACATCATCAGACATTGCAACTTCATGAATTTCTAGGGAATCCTTTTGAAAATAATCAAGACTATGTTGAACGTCTGATTCAAGTATGTTTGAATGTAACAGAAACTTACAAGCGTTGTCGTTTACCGACGACAGTGGGAGAGCTTCATAAAGAATTCGAAAATGCAGGTAATTTTGCCTTCTAACATTCATTCTTTTAAACTAAACATCCTATATAAAGCTTGAAAAGTACCTACATCTCGATAGCTGATATCCAGGTACCGTTTTAGAGAAAATCCCACACATACTACCGAGTAGCCAATACTAAGGGCGTTTAATCACACTAATTTCATCATACCTGTGTGCTGCAAATGGACGGAAAACATAAATGCTGTGAGTGGATTTTGTCGCTTTTGAGTAGAGACTAAATTCAAAATATATGAAAACAAAACACAGCGACAAAGTGAAGAAACACAACCCTTGATCTGAAACTTTTATTATTTAATTAGTCATCACACTAACCAGTGTGCCGAAAAAAGTATAGCCACACATACGCACTACCGAATGTGTAAATCCATGACACAGGGATCAAGAAGAAACACATTAGATCAATTGTAATCAAAATAATAATAAAGACAATTGTGTATTGCTGCATGTGAAATATGAACAGACATAATATTTACCAGTCCTTGGAACTTCAGTGAGTCATGTATTGAGCAAACAGATAGCCAAACAGGCCAAAAGTACTCATCTTACGAAGGTTAGTGGTCGTAGGAGATGTTTAGCACGGCGTTCCCAATCTATTTCCATTGCGGTTGCGATGACTATTCTGATATAATGAAACTGACATAGGAAGTATTCCAACCTGAATCGAGAAGACATCACTTAGGTCTCACCAGCTATGGTGCTTTACAGCGATCAGTTAGTTGTCTTACAGTGAACTCTGTTTATATCCACTCGACTTCCAGTGACGAAAACATTTATCTGACATTAAACATTCAGTTGTTAGAAACTTCGCGATATTGGATTGAATAAACAGAATATTCATCCAAGAATTTTCAAAGCGAAGAGAAGGGCTCGAAACAAAGCACTAAATCTGGCACATACGACGGCAAACATGATTGAAATATACGCAAACCGCTGAACATAAAAGATCTAGACTAATCGATCATTCAACTTGACATTTTAAACGCAGGTGAAGAATCCGAATTGATTCATTTTTAGGTTTAAAAAGTTGAAGACTCGTAACTTTTCAGTGCATCTGAACCTTAACGAAAAAGATTCTGCCATGTCATATTACGATTATATTCTGCGTAATTGTACCTGAAATTTGATTGCCTCGAACAGCAGAAAATTGGTATTATAATTGAAACCTTTTTTGTATATTTCAGTATTGAACATTTTAAGTTGAAACTTACACTATCATAGAGTAAATGTGAACAGAAAGTAGTTTGTTTTATTGTATGTTACCTTGACATTTTTCGTAAATAACAACGTGCGACTACTTTGTAACACTTGGTCTCATTCATCTGATTTATTTGCATATTACGCTAGATAGATAATCTTGCCAGGATACATTATCTGCTTTTTCCCTCTTTAGGCCTTCCAATTCTGGCCGTAATATGTCCTTCTTTAGTTCCTGACCGAATGCTTGTCATTCACACCACTCGGCATCTGCTAAAATTATTAATAATGCAACTAATTTGAATCACTCAAAGTGCTTTTGTATCCGTTGTCTGGGATGTATAAACATGTCTCCGTGTTTTACGTTTATTAGGCGTAAACAAAATAATAACAAGTAAGTGATTTTTTTAATATACTGGGATGTGTATTCGTTTTAGTAGTCGAGATAGGGATAAAATTGATTGATACGTTCTACACTTTATGTCTTCAATAGATGACAACTATTTATTTTTATTTCTGAAAGGCTGATCTGTTGATAGAAGTGAATAAATGTTTACCACACATTCTATGTGACTTTACATTTTGCTAAAAAGCATACCTCTCACAATAGTCACTGTTGAGCGAAATTAATGTAATTTTAAATTGCTGTATTTTATACTACCATTTTTCAAAATAAAGTTTTTTCACTGGTGTTTGAAGCTGTATTAATTCTTCACTTCATCCTAATGTTGAATTCTATAATCATACTAATAAAACTTCAAAATCTCCGTATAGATGTCTCCTAATATGTAATAGGTATCTCAGAAGTTTATCTGTGGAGCTGGTTGCATCTTCTAAATTTTAAACCTTTATGTCTATTTACAACGATTTATTACAAAATATAGTGCTAATAAACTTAGTATATTGACAGGAGTCTTATTAAACCTGAGTTTACAGTACTTTGTGTTACTATTGTGCAAGGTTCCGGTCGCCATTTGATGGGCAGATATAAGGAATAGAAAGCCTCTTCCATGATATTACACAAGTATTCTATCACTTTAGAGGTCAAAGGAAATACACAAGCAGATATATCATCACTCGTCAAACCTTATTCAGCAATCATCTATCCAATTTAATTCTTACCCATAACCGCCTCAGGCGAGCATGTATCTAGAACTCACGACATGTAGTCATTGTTATTGGGGACATAAATTTGAAGGCATTCTTCACAAACTGACCTACGGATTTTTGAACTTCAAGAGCTCGGGGGGACCTACAAATGCGCATACTGTAGTATCTTGGGATAAAAATTATATTAATCATGTATTTTAGATGTGTACTGTGACACTTTTAAAGGCATAGGTTTTTGATGGCCATACATAAGGTTGCCATAATATGGCGATGCGATTACTCTGCCTCATAAATTGCTCATCGTTTTATATCGCTCCTCAGATCTTAAAATTACCACAAGACATGAAAATATGTGAACTGGTTGAAATCAGTTTTTTAGTATGCTTCAAGTAAATAAAAAATACAGCGTTTCTGCTACAAAGTGAATTTTATTGATTATGATCAGATATTAGCGTTTTATCAACTGTTCTTTACTTGATTTCACAAACAGGGTCTCTAGTACACATTGGTTGATGAAATTTTGACCCTAAATTCACTAGCTTATTTGTTTTTGTGGATAGATGGTTATTCTTTTCCATGTTTCTAATGGAGGTCTTTCCCTGGTATTATGTCTGTCAGATCGGTCAAAACCATCTGAGAAGTTTTTAAGCTGTTTTTCCGTATAACTTAAAAACCACCTCTACCACTACGGGATTTGAATGGATAACTGCATCTCTGTGCTAATGTGGTGTGGCAACTTGAACTGACGTACGTACGAAGTTCTACGTTGTTACTGACTGGCTGATAACATAAAAACCTAGAGTTAGATTACAGGTTATATACCCTATTCAATTATCAGGTTATTGACATAACAAAGATTAGTGATCGCGTAAATGCAAGAAGATATTTCTTGTCGATAGTGGTTTGCAGAACGACATTGAAAAGTACCAATTCTGTGCGGCCAATATTCGTATATGTGGCGTTAAAGTATTTTAAACCTGGATTATCGAAATAAATAAATCAATAAGTATGTCTTGTTTCTTTTGAAGATTCCTATAGTTAAAAAGTTCGGTACACTAATATTTGAATAGGTGGTTAACAACAGTAATTTAGTTTAAAGTCTTCAACTGACTAAATGGTATACTTGATCTTTAGGTGTTTTACGTGGTATTTATTTTTGGCTGACTATACGACTAATGAATATAGGAGATATTATAATATACACTTTTATGGAGAAACTTCAGAGATATGCGTTTTCACCCCTTTACATTAAAGTACACTTAGTCTTCGGCTTTAAATCTCTCCGTGCTTCTGTTTTCCAACACACATGAGTCTAATGGTGATTTCCTTAACAATGGGCATAAAGGAAAATGTCAGAAGTTGTTTGTTCATCAGTTTATAATCAAGCCTAACTAAAAAAAACCAACGTAGTCCTAGTGGTTCAATTGTTTTACGTGTTTGGGTACACAAACGACATCGCACATCGAATAATTATCCCCACATCAGTTGCTTATATCAAAGTTTTCCTTAAAATGTCAAGTTAGGTGGAGTTTGTAATACCTTGTCAAGTACATGTTTGTATGGGTTCTGAATGTTTCACCGAGTTATTTCCAAAGGACGTTGAGTAACATGGCTCATAATCAGTTGCGATGGTATAGTCGCATTCGCTCTTTGTTTTCTCTTAGATCTTGAGTTTTAGAATATTTCTGTACTGTTTCGAATCCCTATAATTTATTTTTTTCTTTATTAGTCGCATTGTCCATGCCTAATTTATTCCATTGCTGATACTGTTTCTGCATCTACCATTCCGGGATTTTCTCTAATAGTGTCATCTCTCTGTGGTTATTCGGTATGCCAACTTGAACTGATGCACATTTCGTGCCAAAGTCTATGCTGCGTATAACCGACTAACTGATACTTCAGGTTATATGTTAGTTTGATACTTCCTTTCATAAAAGCACCCTCCGCATTTACAGGGTGTTTGTGGTCTAATAAATGCTTCGGATAAAATATGCAAAGCTTTAAAAGTTGAGATAACCAGCTTTTTAAAATTGTTGGAAGTGTTTTTCAGCTTTGTGACTAAAAATTAGAAACGTGATTTATTCAAACGTTGTGCTTGAATAATAATTTTTTACGATTAATTTCCCCTAACATAGTGCTGTAGTTTTTCAGTTTGTCTCAACACTTTCAGTCAAATAACAATTGACCTTACCCATAAATCCTACTCTACGTTTTAAGGTTTCATCACAGCAGAAGAAAAATAACCTGTTTCTTAAAGAAATCAAGATGACTTCGCTTGCAAAATATGGTAAATCCACTGTATTTCGCTTCTTTCCTCTCAGCTGCACATATGGCGGTACATTTAGTTACTTTAGAATGTCAACACACTTAGGGATTTAAGAATGAATTGTTCATTCATTACTTTTAATATACAGTGTATCTATAAACTATTTTTTATCTTATAACGATTCCTGAAGCCTGTAGCAATTCGAAGATATAATAATGACCTTCAGATTTAAAACGAGTCGGCGATTAACACTAAACTCTCTTGGCATCGTGAATATACTGTGCGAACAATTAGACTTTTCACTATTCATTTAATCATGAGTAAAATTTGATGGGTGTAACTCAAGATGGTTGTTTCTTTCTCACCTTTAAAATGTTTTCAATAAATATCAGTCGTACTGAATAGTAATCCTATATTCTACAATATTGTAGATCTATCACATCAATCATAAAGTCTATCAAGCTTCAAGTTTAACCTCATTAAAAATCTTACCCTTTGAAATATACTCACCACTGAAAGATAAATCATTTCTTCACTTTCTAAGAATGTTGTATTTTGAAACAATAAAACGTGTTAGCTTAAAATGGTGTTCTTACAGTTCACCAAGATGAATCAATGGTTTGATGCTCCATTGGCTCAATGGCTTAATTGAGAAGCTCTCATTTTTGTTAATGTTTTAAATAGTTAAACTTATTGGTTTATATGGATTTGAAGAGTAAGTAACAAAACAAAACTCTTGCCATGTTTTGAGAATGATACCATTCTTAGTTAATATAGATTTATAGAAGCAACCAATTGTTATTCATTTCATTCTGTAATAAATCCCTTTTTGAAATAGAAAAAACAATTCAAAGTATAGTTATAAGGCTTTCTAGAAGAATGGACTTTCCGCACCAGTGATGTTTGCCATTTATCAATCAAGCAACGCTCTTTATAAACTCAAAGAATTGTCACTTTATATGTAGTTAGGGTCTTTTTTTATTAATACGTGTAACAATACAAATTGATTTCCATCAAATTTACACCGGAAATGGAAAGACATGCTTATCAATAAGCTTCATGAGCACAGATAGTGCATTAAGCGTGGTAGACATCCAGAATTCTGAAATACGATGAACTCTATGTCTTTGGCAACTACTTTTATCGCTCCGAAAAACAATCAGTCGATTCAAATAATTATCATTACTATTATTGTCATTATTAATACTATTATTATTACTATTATTGTCGTTATTATTATTATTATTATTATTATTATTATTATTATTTCCCACATTATTCACCCTCTTTTATACTTATACAGCGGCTCGTCTTTGGTGGAAATCCGACTGTATCTAAACGTTCTCGAGTCACTGTCCGGTTGAAAATTGTATGTTACCATCGAATATGAGTACTGAAGCAGTTTTTCTGAAACCACGTGCACCATTCAAACTGGCTGCCTTAAACGTTCGCACACTTATGCAGGTTGGTCAACAGATAGGACTGGCTATGTCTTTGGAAAGTCTTAATTTCGATGTTTGCTGTCTATCCGAGACCCGTATTCAAGACTCTAGGGAAGTACTACAAATTCGCTCTACATCTGTCACTTCGAAAAGCTTGTTTTACGTGCGCTTATCCGGGGACCCTGTGGCATCTTCGTCTGGTCTTGCAGGCGTTGGTGTCGCACTAAGCGCTAGAGCTGAGGCAGCACTAGTCGATTGGATCCCCATTAACAGTCGGTTATGTGCTGTTAGATTAGAAAGTTCCATCAAAGTGAGAAGAAATCGGCCTGAAAAACGATGTCTTTTCGTCATCTCCGCTTATGCCCCGACAGATTGCAGCCCGGATGCAATCAAGGATGAGATTTACCACCAGTTATCTGTTCTTCTCCAGAAAGTGCGTTCGACAGATATTGTAGTACTAGCCGGAGACTTGAATGCTCAGGTCGGGCGTCTAGGCACAGAAGAGAGTCGTTCAGGTGGCCGATGGGGACTCGTTGGTCGCAGGACCGATAACGGGGACCGTCTAATGCAACTGTGCACAAACTACAACCTGTTTCTGGCTAGCACTAACTTTCGGCGCAGTCATCGCCGATGTGCCACCTGGCGTCCTCCCTCTGCATCTCAAGCCTGGACTCAGATTGATCACATCGCGATCAGCTACCACTGGCCTGGTTGTGTACAAGACTGCCGCTCCTTTTGGAGTACCTATCTAGACTCTGACCATGCCTTGGTCTGTGCCAATCTTGCCTTACTTTTCAGTGGACAACGAAGTGACCACCACCAAAAGATTGATGTTAGCAAGCTGGTTGCAACTTCTGTTGCAAATAAGTATCGAACCGAGCTAGCCTCTAGGGTAGCTACCACTCCACCGAAAAGTATAGATGAGCATTGGTTGCAATTGCATGACGCCATGAAAATGGCGGGTACAGTCAGTTGTGGGTTCGCGAAACGTCCCGCTTATAAGCACTGGGTTTCTTCAGGTTCCTTACAACTCATTGAAGCCCGTCGGTCTACGCCGGGTGACCGTTAGTTTGACCATAAACGAAGGATGTTACGTAAGGAAATTGGGCAAAGCTTGCGTAAGGACCGAGAAGCCTGGTGGTCGAAGCGTGCTAATGAGCTGGAAGCAGCAGCTGCATCTGGTAACTACCAGAAGCTCTTCCAACTCATCCAAGCCGCTGGCAGCAAGAAGTCTGGTGTGAGTGAAACAATCTATGAGGATGATGTTATGCCAATCACTAACATCCATCGACGTCTTGGACGATGGGCAGAATTTTTCGAAGGGCAGTTCAATTGGCCTGCTGCTCTGGCAACATCGATCAGACTGTCCTGCCCTCCATGGTCGGTGACGACTGATCCACCAAATGAGGCGGAAGTCCGCAAGGAACTCCAACTCTTGAAGCGTTACAAATCACCTGGCACAGATGATTTACCTCCGGCTCTTTTTAAAGATGGTGGTGACTTTCTGACTAAGGAATTGACGACGATGTTTACAAAGGTTTGGGAACTAGAGAGTGTAACAACGTCATGGAATGAGTCGATAGTTGGCCCTATCTTTAAAAAGGGTTCACGTCGTTCCTGTAACAACTATCGTAGGATAAGTCTACTTCAGATTGCGTCCAAGCTATTGGCTTCCGTCATACTTCGTAGGTTGTTCAAAACCCGAGAAAGATTGACTCGCGAGGAGCAGGCTGGGTTTCGTTCTGGTCGAGGATGTATTGATCATATCTTTGCCATCCGCCAAATGTTAGAACACCGCCATACTTATCAAAGGCCAACAACCGTACTGTTTCTTGACATCAGGGCTGCCTTCGATTCGTTGGACAGGACTGTTCTCTGGGATTGTCTATTGAAGAAGGGATTGCCTGAGAAGTTTATTAACATCCTAAAAGCCCTGTATACAAACACCTCAGGCAGAGTGAGGGCATACAACCACCTCTCTCCATTGTTCCATTCGAGCAGTGGGGTTAGGCACGGTTGCCCAATCTCACCATTCCTCTTCAACTTTGCCGTCGATGACGTTCTGGAAACAGCTCTGATGAATGTAAGTAATGGTGGTGTGGATCTGTTGCTTGTAGAAAGACTTCTCAACCTTGAGTATGCGAACGATATTGTCTTACTGTGCGATAATACCCAAGCCATGCAATCCGCACTTAATCAGCTGGCAATCAGTGTCCGTAAGTATGGGTATGTGCTTTGCACCTTCGAAGTGCAAAGTACTTCTACGAGACTGGCAGGATCCCAATCCTGTACTCACCCTGGATGGTGAGCAGATAGACGTAGTCGAGAAGTTCGTGTATCTGGGTAGCTGCATAAGTGCTGGTGGTGGCGTGAGTGATGAGATCAATGCACGAATAGTGAAAGCCACAGCGGCTTATGCCAACCTGGGCCACCTTCGGCGCCTTCGTGATGTTAGTCTGGCTGTAAAAGGTCGGATCTACAACGCGTCAGTGAGAGCAGTTTCGCTCTATGCTTGTGAAACCTGGTCTCTCCGAGTTGAGGACGTTAGACGACTCTCTGTGTTCGATCATCGCTGTCTCCGAAGGATTGCTGACATTCAGTGGCAACACCATGTCAGTAATGCAGAGGTTCGGCATCGTGTGTTCGGGCACAGAGATGATAATTCAATTGGTGTCACCATCTTGAAACACCGACTTCGGTGGCTTGGACATGTTCTACGAATGTCCTCCCAGAGAATTCCACGTCGTGCATTATTTGCCGACTCTGGGACTGGTTGGAAGAAGCGGAGAGGTGGTCAGTGCATGACATGGTGTCGTGGCATGAAAGAAAGCTGCAAAGGACTGGCTTGTGTTGGTCCTTCACGACTCCCTGGTTGGGGTCTGAGAGATGGTGCTACACAGTGGCTAGAGACGTTATCAGATATGGCTCAGAATAGAAGCCAGTGGCGATCCTGCTGTAATCTTCTTTTACTTTCTTCATAAAAAGTGGTTGTGTCTCCCTTACCTGAAAGATTTCTTCCGATTGTACCTTTGCGTTCCCTCATTACTACCACACTACCTTACACCAATCTCTTCGTTATTGTTCTCTCTTTTTTTGTTGCGCTTCTTAGCTTTTCTTTTTCTTTCTTTGTATTCCTCTCGAATTTTCACTGTTTTGTGTGGCGCATATATATTGGCGCTCTCTTTTACCAATATTCATGTGTCCAAATAAATAAATAAATGAAACTCTGAAATACAGATAATTTAGATTGTGACATTCATCGTTTACTGATGAAAACAGTAATTACCAACTCAATCATGAACATTAGTAACGTTATGTGTATGGAATGACTGCAGTCGTTCTGTGAGTTGTAGCGTACGGCTATTTTGATCGTCATTTTTATTCACAGTGCTGGGAAATTCGCGCAGCCAAGTCTTCCAAGTTATTTAGACAGCTGAATGAGTTCTGTTTTGAACGTTATTTCCTAAAATACAATTATGCATTCAGATTAGCTCACTTCTGGTCAGTTTTATTCATAATCTGCTCTCTTCTGGTGCGGTGTCTTTCTACAAGTATGTATATGCTAAGATATTGTTATCACAGAAAAATAATAATGTGGATTGCGATCGATCGATTAAGTTAATGTGGTCTCGGGAAGACCACTTACAAATGACTATCCAGCAAAGATGAATCGTTTTATATAGCAAAAAAGAATAACCTATATACAAAAAACATAATTAAAGCCTATGTTAAATGTCATATATGGTTATATATATTTGTTGGTAGTGAACCTTGCTTGTATTCAATTTTTTTATTAAACAACAACGTCGGTGCGTGTTCCAAGGATAAACACTGAAGGTATTAATAATAACTAGGTAGAGAAGAATCTGTTAGTAACCACAAAACCTGAAACACTTTTGAGATTAATATGACTAATGTATAACATGGAGACAATCGATTTCCTATAATTATAAGGCTTGTTATATAAATTTAACCAAATAAAGTATCCAACTTCGGTTTTATGTTTATTTTTAAATCACAGCCTTCAAAAATTTTGCAGCTAACAAAAAATGACAGTGCTGTAATAATTCCTATTACAACTCTTCAATCTATTCTTGTCACCATAAGTCTGACCATTAAATTTGTCGTTATTAATAGTGTTAATAACACTGCTTGTTTTTGTAGGCGTAATTTATCTATATATTGTACCCCTTCCAGATTCATGCATTCTTGTTAGTATGTATGTCTACATATTTTATTCGTAGTTCACCAGTCAGTAAATTGTCTACTAATACATACCTAGTAGTATCATAGTGGGTGATGGCTAGATACTAGTAACATCCCATTTACCAAGATATTTCATACTATAATCCGTTAGAGCTTTGATAATAGTTCGATTTTTTTAATTCTGAATATAGAGAAATATTTCTTGCCATCCTGGGATTGGATAATTCTGGAAAGACAACAATATCTCTCAGCATAAAGGGTGGTATGTTTTGATCACGTTTCCAAAAATTTTATTTACATTCATACCTAAGTCTCCAGTGACTTAGTTGCTCCAACTATCGGCTTTGATCGTATTGAATTTGCTATCGACAGCTTTAATATCAACCTTTATGATTTGGGTGGTGGTCGTACAATACGTGATATTTGGGAAACATATTTTGCTGAAGTCTATGGTGTTATATTCGTGGTTGATTCAAGTACGCCAGAGAGATTAGAAGAATGTCACGAAGCATTAGTCAATGTTCTTTCCCATCCTTGTATATCCGGTAAACCAATTCTTTTGTAAGTTGTGAGATGGTTACACAAGGTAATGGGTTGTGCTTATCACTTTAGACTAGCAAACAAGCGAGATATTAAAGGTGCGTTAGATGAGTCGGAGCTGATAGCAGCACTCCAGCTGGATGATCTCGTCAATGAATATAAATGCCCTTGTCGCTTGGTAAGCTATAATCGACTGGCTTACATTTGATCATTTTATGTACATGTAAATCTTATTTCTATTTTACTTCTGACTTCATGGAAAAACCAGGCTTGATGTTATGTTGGGACTCGTGTGGTCGCCCAGTCATTAAAAGAGAGCAGTTGTATAACCTAGTCCGACCACTGATTATTCCTCCTAGATTGCTTACGTAGTACCAAAGACCTGCTAACCCATGAAACGATGATAGCTCGATAGCTGAGGTCAGTACTTAACGACTATTGGTTCAGAACGCAGTTCTCCCATACTCTCTTGTCCAATAGCCAGGATAGAACACAATGTATCATGTAGATAACTTCTAAACACATAGTTCAAATTTATGACTCATACAACCACAAAAAAATCATGACCACGTTCAACGTAATTAAGGAATTGCAATACAGGCCTAACTACACGACAAGTGGACGAGACCTGGGTAATAGGTTGGTGATGAATTAGCAGTAACTTAAGAAAGTTTGGACATCCAATAGTAATTCTTGGGCTAACGAAGGCCTACAAGTAGAAAAACATAAAGAAGGAACAATTCAAGTGTTTAGTAATTGTGCAACAAATATATAAACTTCAGGTAGGACTATTCCAAAGGTTTACCTCTCCTTTATGCTTACCCCGTTACAACTACTTGGTAACTTTGGCCAGAAAGAATGTTGCCAGTCACTCTAACAATTGGAATATATGTACATACATACATATGGCCCTAATAAACGCAAGTGCCTCCTAATGGCTCATATTGAATGTGATATGGTAAACTCCTTTTTTACATGACGCTCGTTCCATTGTTCCCTATAAATCTGCTGATAACGTTAAGCGTCCACGCGCTAAACCTAGGTTCCTGAGTTTCATTCCTGGTCGCGTGGTTGTGGTCCCACACTTTTGGGGAGTCTCATAACAGAACGAAGAGGGCTTTCAATACTTCCAGGTGTTCAATGACTCCCTAACTTAGATCAGTTCGTAATCTCAATAAAATAAACATAGAAAAGCCCTTTGAACTCCGAACCTCATCAAGTTTCTTTATATATTCAACAGGTTGACATTGTTCGACGGACCTCATCAGAAATGTAAACATGAAACCCCAGAAAATTAATTTGTCTTTGTCTTTCTATAGGTATAAAACTTAAGTTGTTAATGATCAGCAATAGGGGACCATAATTTATATTCAATGTACAGACAGGCAGATCTCTGTATGGACACCAGAGTGTAGAACTTTCCATACACGTAACGCTTTTTGATATTCACTCTCACATGGTGAACTGGATTGCTTAACTTGAATGTTTTTACTTCTAGGAGCATTGTTGTGCTTTATTACTACCTAATCAAAAGTTGGATAAAGCGATTCGTGAAGGTTTGAAATGGCTTCTTGCTTATATTCAGTCAGATTTGATAAATATTCAATCACGAGTTGGTGCTGATGTAGATAGACAAATAAGACAACAAACAGAAGAACGAGCAGCTAGAAAAGAAAGAGTTCGATTAGCTAGAGAGGAGAGAGAACGTTTGAGAAAACTGTCTAATCAACACATCAACAATACGTTCACAGCAGGTAGTCTAGACGATTTAGGTGAAAATTCAAATGAATTAATCAACCAACAATTAACATTAAAAACCGAAAATACATGTACGGTGTCCAACATTTTTGAAAATAACGTAAGTTTCTCCTAAAATTTGTTACTACTCATTTGATTATTCGTTTACAATGTACAAAATATAGTTCAGTTCCGAAATTAAATTTTAAGGTAAAGTTCATACGTTATAATACTAATTTACATCAATAAGCAATTGCATCATCGTAAATATTTGTTATTTAAAATCCTTCTCCTTAAGCTATCCATAATGTAACTAACTAATAAAAAATGATTTTTTACGGTATTACGAAAATACATAATACGGTAGAAGTTCATGAGATTCAGTCAACACAGAGAATGCTGATGTTTAGCTTAAGGCATGCCTTATTACTGTATATTTATACCAGTCTTTGGTTGTAATCTTTGTTCTCTTCATCATTTACGGAATCTTTTGATATATTTAGTTTTCTATTGCCAAGGTTGATCCGTTAAGTGTAACACAACAGTTTCACAGATCTGTACTCGGCAGAAAAATGTTAACAATATAAATCAGTCTTAAGTCATGAGAATACTCAAACCATTGCTCTACCCTTGTGATATGGCTACTTGTACTTTAGCTTCTCGAGACTTAAACCCTCGTTTAAGCAGATATATTCCTGAAAAACGTGCATATATTGTTTTCGGAAAACAAATCTATTTAATATTAAAGTTAGTAAAGCAGATAGTGTTCCGATAATTTGCAGGATTTTTAACTTGATTCATCATTCTTGAATTATATCTGCTTAAGATAGATCAATAGAATTCTGTTTAAGTGTCATAGTTCAAGGTCTGTATATTAGTACTCACAAACTTCCCTGTATGATATGATGGTATGTTAACGTTTTACACTATTAAAGAACATGAATCGAAGTTGGTCACTAACTTGCATCCAATGGCGATAGTGTCTAACATCAACCAATCCACGAAATTGCGCGACCAACTTCCATTGTACTGAGGTAGATACCTGTCTCTACCCAACATGGATTAGCTCCACTGATCACGGCTTCTCAATAGAACTCCGATAATTCCCTCACGAAGCTAGTCACTAGTGAGCACATGTTGATTACTAGTATAGGGGTTGTGGAGATTATTAGGTTTATGATTGAGATCATTCCATAATTTCTAAACCATCTTAGTGTTATCACTCGAATTTCTCCAATAAACTAGTCTGGCAAGAATAAAAAATTAGGGTTTTTGACAAAAAGATGCCGTTAGTTCAAGAAAACTATCCGAGCTCTCTACTAGTACGCGATTAAGCGTTCTCATCAATCTAGTATGATTAGTGAAAATCAGTAATAAATCTGAGTAAAAACTATCCACCATTCTAAGATCTGCTAGTAAGTAACACTTTCTAATCACAACCCATTTTGAAAACTATTAGAAAGTTAAGTAAGTAAGAGATATAACTGAGTTATGGTAAATATTAACACAGATCTTTCGATTTGTAAATAATTCGCAAGTGATTACCCAATTTATAACTAAATTTTTAGATCTTTTTATAAATAAAGATATCTCAATTGAATTATCCAAGCTGAATTTAAAACGATATTAATAAAAATCATATGTAGAATGAAAAGCTAAATCTCAAGTTTTGACTTCCTTTATGACTTAAATTTTCGAGTTGTTTAATTACTTAGTATCAAAAGAAATAAACCATTCTATCACTCGACTCTTAAATTCACTTCGACGGTAGAACCTAAAAATATTTTCAAAGTGATCGACTATAAAACGGATGCAAGAATAAATAAGTCAGTTTTTAACAGCAATTAAATGCATTACCTGAAATTCACAAAACCGACATGTCTTTACATTCAATTTTATCAGTGTGTTGGTCACCTATACATAATATCACAAAATGTTTAACGGAGCTTCTCAATCCTATTCAATAGCATTTATGTAGGCACTCTCTGAGGGGTTTATTTCAGTTGATCTATTAATTATGTGACATTAATATCAAGGAAAAGACAAAGCATCCTTCCTATTTGGACGTGTTTTTAAAAGTGTACCACTGAGAAAGGGCGTTAATATCCTATATGACCAGTATCTAATTGAGTAATTTTCCATTCCTTATTCTCTAACAATCCCCAAAGATTTATTAGTTGAAGTTGAATACTATCGACAGATTGGTAATGTCACTATAACTCGACCTTTTGGACCACTACTTGCTGATCTCTTTATGTCATATGTTAAGGATTTTTCAGAAGAATTACTAGGAAAAGTAAAACTTAATAAGAGCGGTAAATCGATAATGTAGTAGTTTGCAAAAAAATTGGTAGTAATTGTTTATTAGGGAAACTCAACAATAAAAAGTCACATTAGTCTTTCATGCAAAGAGGGCGACAGCCAGTTTTCTTGCTTAAATATACTTGTTAGTTCATAAGATGGTTCAAATGATCTATATATTGAAAGCCTTTATGGATGGAACAATATATTAATCACCATAGCCCTTGTTTAGTATATGGTGACATATATTCAGTGATTTTTGTAACAACAAAATAAAGACCACTAAGAGATTAAAATCGCTTCATACCTTTCTTTCTACGAACCAATTTTTTCTTCTTGTACTATATCTCTATACGCAATCTTTCTCTTATATATTACCACCTTTGACCTAACAACTGCTATGAATCTGGTGTTCATCTTGTTGTGCTGATGCGGTATGGCAACCTGAACCGATGCACATATGTGCCTGGTCTTACGTTGTAGCTGACTGACTGTTTTTTCTAGTAAATAAAGACTCAGTGAACCTGTTCTTTATAAAAGCATTATTTCCGTTTATGGTTAACATTGCGATGCAATCATTTTAGATTGTTTCCGCCTATGTTAAACCCAACAGTTGAGTAAACACCTGAAATAGTCTATATGAATTTACTCAGTAGTGCGGATACGATTTAAGAATCTATTTCTGCTTTTTATCATATTTACTTAAGTGTTTTGTGGCAGCATCCGTCTGATTTCGAAGATGGTTTTCGTCACTAATTGATATAGGTCATTTATTTTGGAAGAAATCATTGAACAGCTGTTTTATTCTAGTTTAGATCGCCACAGGAGTCCATACCCCAGAATCCATAAGAGATAGAGCACAAGACTCACAGCAAGGTCAGTACCATTCAACCTCCGATTTGAAACATAATCCACAGTTTTCTATTTCAGTCAGTTTATAATGTTAAGTGGTTTGAAACTAACTTTGCTGGTCAATTGTTGTCGCGCTGAAACTGAGAAATCCATTTCAAAGTCGGTCATATGTATGATATTATCAGTACGGGTACTTTGTGGTGATTAATAAATGTTCTTTGGTGTTACGAATCGACTTAATCTAGACATCTATTTAGTTTGAGACGTATGTGAGATTTGCAATTCTAACGACATATCAAACAAACGATATTTCTTTAAACATTTTCATTTGTTTACCTTTCGCAATAGTGACTCGGATTAGAATTGAAACATAGAAATTTAATATTCACTGTAATCTGGGATTTCCTAGTAAAACAGAAGGTTTGTCCCAGACGTTATGATTTATCGACTTAAATCTGATTACCTGTCTTTTGATGAGCTATCAATCCACCTTATGAATCCGTTTAAGGTTAATTATTTGGAGATGAAATGCACTAGGAAAGAGAAATAATTTCATTTTAATAATAGCATTTTCTGGAAACCTATGTAAAACCTTATTGTTTCATTCTACTTGCAGTTGTGTAGTGACAGTCCTAAATATAAAGAACCTACTAATTTACCAGAACTTAACCAATATAATGATATTCAATTTGTTCAAATCAATCCATTAGTATCTGATGAGAAAAATAATTCTTTGGCATGTTCACAACTGAATTCACGTGACCTATTACATCAAATAAAGTTAGCCTGTAGTATTGATCTGGAATTCCAAAATAAAAAATTGAGTTTGGATAGCTACCGTGGTTTTGATAAAGAGGGCTTATTCATTGAATTAGAAAGACAGCTGCATATTAGTGTTGATGATTCAAAAGAAAATGATAATACCCGTACTATAACTGAAAAACATGATGAAGTATCAAAACAGTTTTCATTATCGCCTTCGGTCTCAAATGGTCATAAGAAAGATGTGGAATTACAACCTGAATTCATGGAAATGAATATGTCGAAAAGCAAACTCCAATGTGATAAAGATTATTCGATTCCTCAAACAGCGAATGGTAGTGCCCGTTTTGTTAATAGAACACCAACTGTGGTCCATTCGTTATATGAGAAAAATACTTCTTCGGTTGAAATATCTGTTCACCAAGTAAGTACATTTATTTTATTATTGAATACTTCGAGATTATTTTTGCTAGTCAGAATCCGGAAGGTGTTATTTCTGGGTTTGTTTGGTTATCGACTAGTGCTCATCAGCAAAGAAACAGTCATGAATGTGTATTGGTCCAGATTTTCACACAGTGAAAGGAAATCAGCAAGATAGCAAGTAGATGGAACTGATTTATGCTGAAATAGAACCCTAAACATGAGAGATAATTTTTAGACAAAAGAAATGAGATCGATGAGCTATTAATAATGCCTGACGATTTAAAAAAAGAAGGAGAATCCATACAACCGCTCTATTTCAACCTAACATCCATAGGTATCAGATGGGGCCAAACCAGTAAACATGGATCATCTGATGGCATAGTGAATTTTCGTCTACTAAAGTGACTAACATGTGTTGAATGCACCTGATCACTATCTACTTCAACATGCAATGTTTAGTGAGGCAGAAGTAGTAGGTTTGAATAAAAATTGAGGAAATAAAACCAAGTGACATTATCCCATGAATTTACCAACCACTAGTCTTCACTATGTTGATAAATTCAAACTACCTGTTCGGGGTCCACACTATTATCATGATCAGTAGTTGAAGACGTCGAGTGACGTGGCTTAGAATCGGCCATAGTGTAGCAGATATACATACACTTTCTCTTCCTGTAGGTCAGGAGTTTTAATATTCCTTTCTACCTTTTCATTCCACATTTTCGAACAGTGTTTAGTCTTTTCCACTGTCATTGCTATTATGATTATTTCTACTCCTCTGCCATTCATCTTAATCTCATCTCGTCGTCATGATATGGTGTGAGATTTTTGGTTACCCCACATTTATGCCAGGCTCTACATTGCTCCTCACTAACCGACTGAGTTGGTGTTATATCTCAACCTATTTATGCTTACTTATTTTCCAACCTACTCTTACATCAACCAGCATCTTATATCTTCGTAGGCGGTAAATAAACTTGAGCAACGCATTCCTTAACCACATCAGTTGATGGTTTTTTATATTCTCATCAATCAATGTTCGACTAAACACCTGGATCGCAACACACAATAAATCTGAAAATGCAGTCTATCCCAAATTAGGTAATTCAACACAAAAAAATAGGATACAATCACGCTTAAATCTCAATAAATGTGAAATAGAGAATATAATAATAGTTGGTAAATTAAACGAAAGCTTATGATTAAAGAAATATGGAATTCACTAATTACAGATCAAGAATTAATCATTAATGTCCTAAAAAGTAGCCTTCATAGTTTGTTGTTCCTTATTTATTGCTTTCACAAAGTCCCCCTTTTTTATAAAAGATTCCTGGTATGGCCATATACTGGGAGCTATCTATTCAAAAGGGCGGACGCTAATAAGGGCGACCACCAAAAAGACGCATGTTAATTAAAGTTATCAGTAGAAAGGGCAATAAGTTCGCTTTACCATCAATTGCTTTGAGTATAATGAAGAGTCTTCTTTCAACTATTACTGATGAATGCTAAAATTTCTCAAGTCCGGTAATAAATTTTGAACAGCTAGTATATAATCTATTAAAATAGATGTTTGTTTCACTTTGAAATCAAATCAAATATTTGGTTTCAGAACAAATAAATACAAGAAGAAAAGTTGAGCGAAGAAATATTTCTTTACAATTAGTTCTTCATCAAGGGTCTACATTAATATATATATGTTTTATAAGTGAGTAGAAAGTCGATACAAACTAAATGGTGGTGAGTCGGTCTAACAAAATGACAATCAGACAGTTACATAACGTCTAGAAAATTAAGATTAGAACTAAAGTGAATTTTCATAGTCAGTCAATTATTAAACCAAAAGGCACAAAGGTTCTCTACATAAACTAAGAACTATTAAAAACCTAGTGCTCACCAGACCTGATAAATGATCAGGAACAGTTCTGATAGATAAAATAGTTCACATGAAAAAGATGAATAAAATATTCAGTGATCACAGCAAATTTCAGAAATTATCTTCTAAGAACGATCCCGCAGAAAAGACTGAACGACAGTTGACTTAATCATTAAATGGTCTGAAACAAACTGGTATGGTCGCCCAAAACTTAAACAAAGCACTTAAGACCACAGGTACGGTGACACCTAAACTTCACGGCCTACCAAAAGTACATAAAACTGACTTACCACTTCGCTCAGAAATTCATGATATCACTTGATGCATTCTCTGTATTTACAAACGTGCCTCTTATAAAAACAGTTAATTTCATATGTAGTGAGTTACAAAATCGAGAGGTGGAAATTAGCATTCCGGTCTCCTCTTTTTGAAAGAGTTAATACTCAGATGTATTATGAATGTATATTTTTTGTTTAATAAAGAACTTCACAGACAATATGACTGTGTCGCTGTGGGATCATCATAGACATAACTTGACAAATGAATCATCCTATTTCTGAACGTCACTCTTTGTGGTTGACCAAATGACAAAAGAAAGTAATAAGGAGCTCTATCTTGGCGCATCCAGTCGATACTGGTCACCACATGAAATCTCACCGAATTTACCCTGTGGTTCTAAGATCCGACTCTTACATATAGAAGAAGCCATTACGTATTTCGAGACATTTCTTTCCCTTTTTTTAAAAAAATTTCCGAACTTCGATTTCATAACATTTTAATTTCTAATCCTAGTATTACCTGACCTGTCTACTAATTATGTTATCTAGTTTTCACTGAACCCGCCCTACTAATTATTTATCATCAATTTCACAAACAACAAAAAATACTTATAAAGCTTGTGACTTAAGGCAATCCGCAAGGGATGCAAATATGCCGACTTTCTACTCACTTATAAAACATATATATATTAATGTAGACCCTTGATGAAGAACTAATTGTAAAGAAATATTTCTTCGCTCAACTTTTCCTCTTGTATTTATTTGTTCTGAAACAAAATATTTGATTTGATTTCAAAGTGAAACAAACATCTATTTTAATAGATTATATACTAGCTGTTCAAAATAGACGTTGGAGATAACGTGACTAGGGTAATAATAATAGAAATTTATTACCGGATTTGAGAAATTATAGCATTCATCAGTAATAGTTGAAAGTAGACTCTTCATCATATGTTTAAGAAAATAATAAAGATTATTACTAAGTTTGCCGCTCATCATTTCCATAAGTGTGAAACATATGGATGACCGCCTAGGAGACTATGTTTTTCATCTTTGTTTCTATTCTTAGCTAACGGATTCGAAGTTATATCACAAAATTGTGTTCACATGAATCCTGCACACTAAAAACTAAAATGGTGGTCAGTCAAAGAAACCGGTAGGATTTACATTCTTATAAATAACGTTCAAATTATTGTCAACATACGTCATTTGTAAATAAGCCATAATTACGGAATGAATTTAAAATATGCGGACCTTTTTTTGCAGTCACTTAAGCTTCCCATTGATTAATTCATATCAAACCTAATTAATGTAATTTCCTCACCTATATTATTATTTCCAACTACTGATATTCAGCACTAAACCTAGCTTGTTTTTCCGATTCAGTCCTATGTATAATGAATTTTTACTTTGAATGGTGGCTCACAATAAAAACCATAGATGAATGAAGCGTATACAGTTGCGAATTCGACTTTTCCGGAGTTAACAACAATTCATATTTCTAATGACTTTGTCATTGATCTCATAAAAATACCATGTGATCATTTGTTATTTAAACATTTTTCCATTTATTTTTGACAATTCAAATTTTCTAGTCGTTTAATGTTCAAAAAAATCCGTTTGAGAAGGTTGAACACAGAGACAACAATTCCAGTCTATCGGGAACTGTGCCAATATCAAAATTTACTAAAGGACCTTCACCACTGGCACGGATTTTTGTGTCGAATTTCAATAAACTACATCCAATCACAGATCAGAAACCAGAAGGCTCAATGTCATCTATATCGCAATCATTTACATCAGAAGAGAAAAATAATTCGGATAAATTCTATGCAACCTCTGTTTCTAATTCTAATTTAAAATCGTCAGACTGAACGTACAAACGTATATGTATGTTTTTATTAATTATTACACAAACGCCGCTTACGTCAATTATCATTATTCAACTATTTATAAAATACTTTTTCTGCTTGACGCGTTTTATTATCAATAGAGAAGCGTGTTCATTGTTTGAAATTCACATTTTAATAAAATGGAATGCAGACGCATTTGATTAGAAAATCTTATTGCGTAAACACGACGATAGGAAGAAACTTAAGTGTATGTCTGTGTTCAAAATCAGCTAATTATTCACAATAATTATCTCGCAATAAGGATTAAAAAACCTAGGTTTCCGTTCAGTAATTTGTGGGAATTATTTGTGTGATTTAACAGATTAAGTGAGCACTTAGATATATGTAAACTGTCCCTACGAAGTATGCTTCTGATAACCATTAGACCATCATAAAAATATATCATTTACAATTTACTTATCAATCACATACCGACACAGATTTACGGTTTTTTAATGACCTTATGAGCTGTTTTTTTCAATCTCAACGCGACTGACATTTAGAAGAGTATATTGATTACCAACAGTTTTGTGGGACTGGTATCAGCTTCTGTCTGGAGGTTTCATCCGCACGGACATTATTAACAAAATACTTCCCTCCATCATGCATAAATATCAATCTTTCCGAAATTGCAGTGAATGATTCAAACCATTGAGGAAACCAGTACATAAATAAACAGACCCAGTAGATTCTCAGATAACCTCTGCAAGATCATCTACCGTACGAAGGACACTCAATATCTACAAGATATTCAGTACATGAACAATGTTATTTTGGTATAGGAAACTAGACGCTTTAAACGAAAACCTGGTTTAACAATTATTCAGTGCAAATAATTGCCTGTGAAGCAACCTAATTGATTATGGCAGATTGATGTTTTTAACTTGGGCAATCAAGCAGTGATTGACCCGATAGACGCATGGGATAGATAGATATTACTAAGCTGTGAGGGTATACTGACTTCAGAGAAACATAACGGACATCAGTTTGATTAATCTAGTCACGTGACATACGAACTAAGGTTTTTTCATTAATGAACTTTTTTTGTTCTGAAAATCGATCCTTAGTACCTCAGTTGGTAATTTAGACTGTTAATTATCAGTTCGATAACGTATATCAGAACAAAAGCTGGACTTCATCAACTATATTATTGATACTACCAAGCGTGCAGAGAACATTAATCGTTGCATATTATATGGATGAAACACGACGAATAGTTAGAGAATTCAAGGCGGAACAATAAATGAATACATGATAAAGCACTTACAGAAGTAAAAATGATTAATAAATATGTTGATGATAGAGCAAAAACGTAATTTCGTCTGATAACTAAGTTGATAATGAAGTTCTTTCAAGAATCATACTAGCTTGATCGGTCCTCAGTTACGATTTTATTAGTTGTGAATTGTTGACTTTTAACTTCTCTATTTATCTGATTACAAAATGATAAAAGGAAAATGGAGATGAATGAATTCACAAATACATTAAATTTCGTCACAAAATTAAATTCACTAATAGCAATACTTTGTCGCGGAAACAAATATGATGTGACTGAATATTGTGAATAATCATTGCACCAGTAAGGATATAGACAACAGTATGATTTTCAATATTAGATAATCCGTATTTTATCATCATTTGAAAACGTAAATAGCTTAAAATTTATTAGTATTTATTAAGTTCTACTGTTTTGTCTGTTGTAGAGTATCAACATCAAAGCTTATACTACGTCCCACTGACAGTAGGAACAAAACTTGATGCATACAGTTCACCTAGTATGACACCATGAAAATGTTAGTGTGTATTTATCGCTTAGAGTAACAATGTTTGGGTAATTTTCACTCAAGTTAGAGCAATGTCTATGTGTTCAGTTGCATATTTTATATGGTCAACTATGAGTTTATAAACGTCTGTCTTTTGTTTTGCTAATCATAGCTCCATTCATTATGAAGTTACCTCAGTTCACACTGAATGGTTCCTCTTACCTTTCATTTGTACTATGCATTACAAATGCTCATATAGCATTGTGGAAAATATTTTCTCTTTTATCATCACTCCAGACTGTTGCTATATTGATAATTTACATAATAGTGTAAGTAAATAATCAAGGTTATCAACACTAGCTACTGAGACTAAACTAAGATCTTCAAGGTTGGTATGATATCTAGAAAGGTTGAAGTTTTTGATTTCACTATTGAAACTTGAGTATGAATAATTTGGAAATAAAACAAATAACCGCTTGACTCAGGCTGATTTTCAACTTCCTATAACTGGAAAATATCTATCACCTTGACTAAGTTTGAATTATTTTATTATGTCACAAACATTCATTTTTCTATCAAGTTTGACACAGAAGTCAATAAATTCTGTCACAGAGTAAAGTTTTATAAATCTTCGTGGCTCACAGTTCCGTAGAAACCTATACATTATCAATATATGTGTTAATCCACAGAGATGAAATTTTACAGAAGTCACATCTACTTACAACATTAATTTAGGTACTGTTTGTACTTCTCGGGCACGTTACGATAACTCAAAAAATAAACTTCACAGAAAAAAGGTAAACAATTTTATGGGTGTTCAACAAATGATACATATTAGGAAGCGTTACTTTAAGAAGGCTTTCGTTGATTGCAGTGAGTTCAAATTGTAAATCTTGAACAAGCTTCGCCACTGATTTGGGAGTTTTTATTATTTCAATGCTTTGTGTGTAAGGGTTATAATGAACATCGAATGGTCGCTTAATCGTGCGTACAAATTCTCTGAAAGAGTTAATGAATAAGAATCATGTTTATTACTACAGAGAGTTGAATCGCTTCATCTAATATAGTTCTTTATCATTATCGAAATACAACTTCGTTACAAATAGTAATGCAAACCGATTCTGATCTTAAAATGTAAACATTCTTTAAAAGTGTATAAGTTTCAGCTATGATAAATGAGGCTATCTTAAGACTACATCAGGTAGAAACTGTCCAAAGATTATTAAATCGTGAAATATGTACAGATTGTTTCGAAAGATTAACTAAGGTGTCTATGATTCTTCTCTCTCATCGACTACGAATCGTCGCCTGCAAGTCAGACATCTAGAGTCAAGCTTTAGTCTTACCTTTAGGGAATTCTGTTTTCTTCAAATATATTACGGAATAAAATTTTTCTTTCTGTTATTTTCGTTGGGGTCCGCGTGACCATCGTAACCAATCGTTGGAGACTCTAGGTGACATGGATCAGAATCGATCACAATGGCGTCGGTGTATACACTCTGTCGTACCTTAAACTTAGGGATTAAAATCACTTCATATCTTTCTTTCTACGAACTAATTATTTCTTCCTGACTATATCCTTATTGTATTCTTTCTTTCATATATTACCACCTCTGAATTAACTACTTTTATGAATCCGGTGTCCATCTTGTTGTGTTCATGAGGTATGGCAACTTGGACCGATGTATATATGTGCCTGGTCCTACGTTGTACCTAACTGACTGTTGTGACAAATGTACAACAAGAATCAAAACATACTTTTTTCACTATTTCGAGTTTCAAATAAGAGTGATTCTCATAAACATTAGTATTATGTTGTCGGAAGTATCATCTTTGGTTGCTCCTTTAAAACACTTTCCAGGAAACGTTTCTTGAAACGAGTTTTATGAATCCACAAAATTGTGAATAAAAAGTCAAAATGGCTTCTTAATTTTATTCCAGTTTTCAATATAGTCAGCAGCTTGTTGTCCCTCTTCTAAAGAAATACTATTTTTTACTTTTGTAGTAAAATAAACGATCGAGGGTGAGTTGAAGAGATTACTTGTGCTTTAACTTTTGTCAGCGAATACCAAAGTATGAACTTGTCAGAGAACTTAATTTTGAAATCTCATCTGCTCGATTTGTGAGAAATGTTTCCTAAGCTCTATCTTTTCTCTTTCCAAAGCCATTGATCAAGTAAATATACAGCGGATAGACAGCGAAATTCATTGTTAATTAATTTTGTAATTTTGTTCACTGATTTACGATGTTTTAGCAACATAAAGCTTAATATCTTGGTTATACATAATCCACCAGTATCTGGATCGTACTGTAGAATACAACTGGTTTAAACTTGATGCACAGGAAGAAAAGTAAGTAGGTACATTCAGTTTGATAATATCTCCGTACTCATCGGAATCACAACTGAAATTGTGTTACAGCTTTCATTATGCACTACAGACTACCTTTGTCAAACAAAGGTAATTGGAATAGTGAACGATAAAGAGTTCGCGAATTTCACTCGGTAGCTATTAAAATATGTGAATTAGTTTATATCCATGCAATGGTCACTAAAGAAAACGTGACATTTAGATTTTAGTGAGTAATTAACGCCAAAGAAAATATTGCGTTATATCTGCAGACCATTGAATTGTAAGCTTAATTATTCATCGAGATGGCATCGAAAAATGTTTGCACATTCTTAGTTCAATTTTTGAAATTTCAGTCTAGTGAGTAAATCTTCATTTAATTCAAAAATGTTGAATTTAATCAGTAAAAACTTGCCTCATTTGACGTGTTGCATCTTCAAACGAAGAAGTTTCGAAATATCCGTTTTGAAAAGTCGTAACAAGGCATTCTTCGTTAATAACCTTCATTGGTATGAATGGTTTAATCACAGCTTTGTCACTTAAAGCGTGCTGTTGTAAAGGAATGGAAAAAGAGTAGGTAATACTACGTTCTTTATGGGGTTTCACTAAAAGTTAAAATGTCAGATATGTAAGAATCATCTAAAGTAAATAATTGTATGATCGTGAGAGTATCTGATTGCAAACTCTAATCCGATTTCTCAAAAAACTATTTAAAACCAAGGGATAGACAAAAGCTAAAAATTTCATCCTCCTAGAGAAGTCTAGGACATTTACCTGTCTATCACTCATGGTGTTATAATTTTTGTTTTAGTTAGATATTTGACATGGTTATTTTATATCAACAAGACTCAAGAAGACAGTTTACTTATGCGACTGAATCAGAGTTCATTCGTATTTTGTACAGTCTCGTTTTATACTGTCATCCTCAGACTAATGTTTTCAATAAACAACTTCTGTATCATCACAACATAAAATTTAAGTAGTTCTGAATATTACTGATTGGTTAATCCTTCGAAAACACAGAACACATCTGACATCAATGTGTCCTTGAATAAAATAACAATGGTGAGCTATAAATCTAAAAACTTAATTTTACGTACCTGTAGTTCAGCAACAGATGAGAGCAAACCGGCACCATAAGCTTTCAGTTGGTTATCTTGTCGACAGAGACCAAATTC